GGTCAGACTGATCAGTCCATAACTTTTAACTTGTGCACACATGTACAGGCATGTACATTATTGGTTCATAGAATTGCTAACTAATATGGCCACTTCAGCCAGCCAGCTATTGTTTGACATAAAAGCATGTGCAAGTGTCAATTCTGACCAAATCATTTGTGTAGTTTTCTATGCCACTATATACAGCATACTGAAGATGGTGCTACCAGCTGCTTGGAAGAATGATCATCATATGTGTACTGGCCCTGACTATTTATCATTTAAAAGGAAGAAATGATGCCTACAAGCATTTTGGGCAATTATATAAACCTCATCACAAAAGGAAGTAGCCTGGCAGCATGGCTGAGTGGTTAGTCCGCTGAACTTCCGATCAGGAGGTCCAGGTCAGAGGAGGCGGGTTCAAGTTTCACTCTGTCAACTAACTGGTGTCGTTTCACGGTAGATCTGAGTTCAACTCCTCGGCACAGTTTGTAAATAGTCAGCTGGTTTGCCTTCTGCCAGTTAGTTGGTGTTTATAACCTCACTATGAAATATTTGCTTCTGAAATTTAATTGCTTGGCTCTCCTTAAGCACTGACTGAGAGTAAATAAAGGTCGTTTGTTATCTTTTATTATCAGCTTTACTACGCCCCCCATCCCCACCCTCATTGTTATATTGATCAGGACCAACACAAATTTTTTGGTACCCAACGCCTTCTTCAAGAGACCTTGCATGAACCCAAAAGTACACATATTTATGAGTTTGTAACAAACAGAAAACAAGAGCAGTGGAGGAGGCGAGAAGAATTCTTCAGCAGAGTTGATCAAGGTTTCATTAAGTTCTCGTGGATTTGTGATGTAGGGGAGGGGGTGCAAGAAATCCAGTCAGGCTTGAGGTAGGGGGGGGGGGGGGAGTACAGTAGCATCGAATTTTAAAAATCAAACGTTACTTCAGAAGAGCTTTACAATCGATCCAATTATTTCTTAGCAAAAAGAAGAAGAAATGCCTAATGACTGAACAGTCTATTTGCCTTCAGAAAATGTTTGACAATATCTTAAACTTAAATATATTCGGAACCGCAAAGAACCTGAGTACGTACAATACAAGAACACTTTCAAATATCAACGCTCAATTCCTATGCATGTACATCCGAGTCTACGAGCTAATACAGCAACTTTAGACGATAAGCTTGGAAATTTACCAAGATAAGGTTAAGCTTAAGCTAATTGTAAGCTTAAATCAGGGCGTCGTTGTGACGCTACATATTAAAATCTATCTTAGAAGCTGCCCATACATGCCGTGTATACTACCTGTAAAGTAGGAAGTATTAAACCAAAAGGTGTCCGTGCATTCGACAAAAAAACTCACCGATCGCCAACAGACACATGCTTCACGTCAGCTCCCGCTTCTTTGACAATACCGACGAACTCGTGGCCCATTATAACAGATTTTTCACAATGAAACTTTCCTTCGAGAATCTTCAGATCCGTCCCACATACCGCCGAATAAGTGATTTTCACAACAACGTCCAGAGAGGCCTGAACGTGAGGCACTGGTCGGGTTATCACAGACAGATGTCCATCCCATAACTGTAGCGCGTTATTCATGGTTCGGTGTCGAGTAACACGCAAAAAATTGGAAAATAACAAGCACCAAACCTTCGTCTCTGCACGACAGTGTGTAAACTGCATGCATGGAACGTTGGAAACTGGGGCGAGATATTTTTACTTACCGGGTGGTAGTGGGGGATCATCAGTAAGGTAACGACGATGGGGGAGTAGGGAAACAAGGAGAATATCATTCAAACTTAGAAAAGAAATGAAATGAGATCAGATTTTACCTTGAAAACAATAGCACAGCAAAATAGTGTTCAAAAGGATTTTGTATCGTGAAATTTCCGCTCCCCTTTTACTGCTCACTCGTAGTACCTCAGAGCAGATCACATGAAATAAGCTTCAGGTGCATTGGAGCAAGAATTTAGTCCAGGCTTTTTTTGTTTGTTTGAAGGCTAAAAAATTGGCAACTGAAGCACGCTGACTGTATTCTGGGGAAGAAGTCAAAGTGCTCCCTTGTGAGAGCTTCCTCCCCTCAACATGCTCAGCTTGCTCCAACCCTGGGGAGGCAGGGGAGAGGAGGGGGTGCTTGACCCATGAACAAAAGTCACCACTTTTAATCTCAAACATTCATTATTGGCCAACAGAATTTTACGTACACTTAACTTCACAAAGCAAAACTATAACTAAATTTTATTTTCCTTCTCATACACATTTCCAGTGGCGGGGGACTCCCATGTGAATAGGTCGGGGATGCTCATCATCTCGCTCAGGGGTGTAAATCAAAGGTTTTGGTCTCACTTAAGGTGTTCAGGATGAAATGCCACAGCGACTATTTTTTGCCATCAAGTCATCTTTAACAGTTGCCTGCAAAGAAATAATAAAAATCTGCTCTTTCTGTTCAGAGTAGTATCCTTTAGAGGTCAAATAAAACTTGAGCCACGCCTGCATTGGTCTCCCTTTCTAACTTCTGAAAAAGCATTCCCGACCTTTTCACATGGGAGTAACGTTCTCTGTTGGGAGCACATTTGTGAATAAAAACTACATAACTCATCTTTTTAACTCATGATTGTTCAGAATACAAGCCTTTTAAAGACTCTACTGTCTTCTCACTGCCTCCACCCTATAAAATTAGTGCAATGCCAAGATTGTTAAGGATGATTTCACAACATGGTCGTCTATCATCACCTGAATTAGTTGTGATGTTTTGTTCCATATGCATATTCCCGCTAGAGCAGAATTTTTTTGGTTTGAAACCACCCAACCCCCCCCCTACAAATTTAATTCAAGCTTCACACTTCCTCTACAAGTACTTAATTTCGTTTTGTGCCTGTGGTATGAATCAAATCTTTTGTCGTTGTTGTTACCAATTCATCCTAATGGAGGTAATTTACCCAACTACATACTGCTGATGATTGAGAAAATATCAGGATATGTCACAGAATCAGAGATTAGTTGATGGAAGTTTGGTTCCCTCAACTAAAATGTAAAACATCAAAAAGTAACATTCAGTCCTTCTCAGCCTTATTCTATCCCTACTTTCCTTTGAAATGTGGCACCTTTGGACAGTGGCTACCTTTAGCAGGGGAGGGCTGCTACCTTAAGTGATCCAGGCATTGTTACTTAAGAAACATTTCCATACTGATTTATCACAGCTCAAATACAGCTTTGGAAATTTCAGCTCTAGAGAGGGCATCAAGAGCTGACTGGTATCTGGGCAAATCAAATACAGCAATCCCTAACTTGTCGTAATTCAAATACTTTTCTGCCATATCCTTTACTAGCTGAATAGCTTGAGGAAAGGTGAAAGGATTGATGTGTGATCCAATAATTTTCAATTCCTTGGCATAGACTTCATGAGGGTCAATTTTGATTGACGACTTTTTTGGACAGCACCCGAAAACAAGCATCTTTCCTCCACACCGCAACCATTTTATGGCTTGCTCAATTGCTGCTGGTGCACCAGTGCAATCCACAACAGCGTCAAAGCCCCAGCTTGCATCACCAGCCAAGTTTGCCTCTTTTCCATTGTTCACCAGAACCTCAGGATGAAGGACTTGATAGCCAGTGTCTAAGCCACTTGCAAGGCTTCTCCGTTGTTCAGCAACCTCACTGATGGTCACTTTTCTGTATCCATGAAAGTGGAGTAAAGAGGCCCACAACAGTCCAATAATTCCTGAACCACAAATAAGGACATTGGAAGATGTTGCAAGGGGCATTAGGAGATCAAAGCCATGAGTAATACAAGAATATGGCTCAATCAGAGCAGCTTGACGTAGGGTGATCTGGGGTGGAACAGAATAGACGGTTTCTGCAAGAACACGGCAATATTGAGACCATCCCCCATTGCGCCAAATGCCAACAGTTGAACGTATTCCACCAGTTTTACAGAAGTGTGGCTGTCCCTTCTGGCAAAATGAGCATCTCCCACAGTTAGTGTTTGGGTTGATGACCACACTGAAACAGATACACAAAGAACATTTTCAAGATTTACTTTACTTTACTTATTAGTATAGTACTTACTATTACTGCAAGGTTTGATAAGGTTCTATTTGTTCACAGAAAAGGTATAATTTCTAAAAGAGAGCAGAAAAGGTATAATACTGCAAAATACAGAGTGAGCATTGGTCTGACAGTTAGGGTAAGGGTTTCAGGATCCAAGTGGCAAAGCCCCATTCAAAAATGCTCAGCATACATCCCAGTGGTTAAAATAAGAAAAACTCAGAGAGAGCATCTGTGTGTTACTGTCAAAAGTCAAGTTTAAAACCACATACTTTTTTGTGGAAAGTATAGAGAATGACCTGATCAGTCGTTTGCTGTTTAATGAAATGTACAATGTTTTAACTTGTTGAATAGACACATAATTTATGCAAGTGAAACGATTATTAACGAAATCTCACCGCTGTTCTCCCTGTTTTTTTCTTTTGGGAAGGGCTACTGTAACACAGACTACTCAGTGGCAGGCCTGACCTATTGAGACATTCTTTCAGCTCATCACACGCACTTTCCTAGGAGGAGGAGGATTACTTGATGAGCCAAAAGAACGTCTGCATTGGAGGCTACTACCCCAGGGTCATAGCTGAAAGTAAACTATGACTGGGCAATGACCATGAAAAAGTTATGACTGGGCCAAGGTCCATGGTTAAATCCTCTTCCTAGGTCTTCTGTGTGTTTATGATGACTATAAGCAAAAAAATGAAAAAAAAAATTGACTGATGCAAGTGCCTCTGTTTGCCTGTTACTAGATACCGCCCTACATACCTAGTTGCAGAGGGGAAGGGGGGGAGGGGGTGGAATAGTGCAGTGAATGATGGAGATTTTACATTATTTACGCCTTGCAAACAAGGCAAACCAAGAAATCAACCGATGGCACACGGCTGCCTTTCCAGACACCTGTTAGGTGCGTGAGGGAATATTGATGAGCTTTCGGGCATGGGCATCTTCATAGTTTATACACAAAGCACTAAATTTAGTTTCCGCACTCTGTGGCCTCAAACCATTTATATTTCAAACAAAAATTACCTTTAATTAGAAAAAAGGGAAAAAATTTCAGTCAAATCAAAACGACCAAATCACGACGAAATAAAACTAAACACTAAATGTTGATTTGGTTTTCTCACGCAGATGTTTTCCTATTACTAAAGGAAAGAAAAACATAAGATTGTGCTGCTGTAGAAATTATACACTTTTCAATTATTTATCTCGCGACATTGATCTATTTGGCTAAGTAATTCGAATTTCTGAGAAACAAAAGTCCTTCTAACTTAATCGATCGCAATCTCTTCAAACTGTGAGGTTAACGTTCACGGAAGTATCTTGAAATCTTGCTTACCCTCTTATATTCACGAACGAATTTGAATTGCGGATGAAAGGAATATTTCTCTTCTGTTTTGCGAAACATATTTATTATCATAGTACGAAATTTGAGGCAAAAGAAAACAGGAACTAGTTCTTACCGATCTCCGACAGAAATTCCCTTTACCTCGCCGCCAACCTCGCTCACGACTCCAGCGAACTCATGACCCAAGATGACGCATTTCGCAGACGGGAACTCTCCAGCCAGGATATGGAGATCAGTCCCACATACTCCAGAAAAAGCTACCTTAACGAGGACCTCATTTGGTGCTGAAACATGAGGGATAGGAGTAGTAATGACGGATAGTTGACCATCCCAAAGCTGTACTGCGGTGTTCATGCTGTACTTCGAGTCCTCGACAAATGGATCGAACAGAAAATCGAACGAACAGAGGGAAGACGAGAAGGCTGGGAACTATTCTTAATCGCGTGACTTTGACGCGTGACTGTTCAAAAGGTCACGAAAACAATTTTCTGAACAAAATCAGTCAATTCGTAACAGTCACTTTTGAAAATGTATGTTGACTAGCATACGAAACGTCAAGTTCTGTATTAAAATGCGTTGCAATACAATGTTTATCACTGCTGTTTGTGTTATATTCTTAACAAAAAGTGTATTTAGTTTCCTGAGTCCATTAACGTTACTCGCTTCCACAGCTCCAGACAACCTGCCAAGGCAGGTATTTGTGAAATATCGATAAGGCAGCTCTATTCCGAGCTTAGTTTACTTTCCTTTATTATTATACTACATCAGTAAGTAAATTATTACGTTAAATAAGGGGCCAATTTCAATGTATTAAATTTCCAAATTGGCGTCGAAATAAGGGACATAAAACAAAAGAAGTAAGGTCGATAATTAAGGGATTTCTTTTCAATATAAAGTAGAAATGACATCAACTCGGAAAGGAAAAATCCGAGTTCCAGATGGTATTTGAACCCACGACCCTCCGTGATCTAGCCGGACGCTCTAGCCACTGAGCTACTGGAGACTCGAGTAACGGTGAAATGTGGGTCTTGACTGGAACCGCATCGCGCGATCACAAAAGTCTTGGCACATGAACTCATAACTGCATCGCGCAGTCACATTAAGGCATATCAAAGATGCAACCAACCACCCTCCAAAGTGAGTATGTGATTTCTACATTTAATATTCCTTATAATTCTCTCTTTTCAATTTGCATGTTTTATTCTCCAAAACCTCGGAACCGACTTAGGATTTAAATCTGAATTGGTCTATCTTTCTATTTTTCAGGATGCAACCCTAAGGAATCTCCCTTCCTACCAAAACAACCACCTCCATTCCACTCCCCAAAACAACAGTTAAACCATCACACTTAGTCCCCACGACTCGAACCCCTCTACCCCTGAAATCTGCAAAAATTCAGTACTAAAATAATGGTACTAAAATCCAAGAAACTATCAAAATTTGTTTTCCTCAGTTATTATTATTATTTTAATTTGTTCTTTATTCCCATTACAGTCACGACTTTGTGAGGCTCGACCCTACATGCGGCTGAATGAATTAAAGACCACAAAACTTGGCCGAGATCTCGCTTCAAAGCAAAACCATCTGTAAATAACAGTTTCTGATCTGCTCTTCATTCGTTCGAGACATGAACGGAATAAGATATTTCCATATATTTTTCTTTTCTTTAAGAATAGCTCAACAGAGCATCATTATTCTCAAGCACATGACGGCAGTTCAACTTAGGCCATAGTTTCTTTTTCGCATTTTTGAATCAGTTTTTCGATATCTTCAGTCATTTCTTTGGGTTCGACCGTGGGAGTGTATCGTCGATATGGCTGTCCTTTGTGGTCAAGAAGGAACTTCTCAAAGTTCCATGTTATGTCGTCATTTTTCACAGGAGACCAGGTGATCTTCTCCACATCGTCGATCAAGTTATCTGGAACTGGGCATCTGCGCTGTAAAACATGAACTCAAAATAAGTAGAAAACAAGATGTATTTAATTTATTTAGAGCGGTTTTCATTTGAGTGTCGAAAAGTTATTGGTTTTGCACTAACTACGGCACGTAATTGGCTAGTAGATTTGTGCCAGGTTTTTTTTATCCAATCAGAAGTAAAACCAAAACCATTCGTTAGTCGTTCGCACCCGCGAACTTTGTGTCAGCTACATACAATTTTCTTCAAGTTTTGATTGGTTCACTGGATTTTCCGTGTTGTTTGTGATTGGCTAGAGTGATTATTTTGGTTTTACGACACTTAATTGAAAACTGCTCTATGTGTGAAGGTATTTAGCACTGTACGCATAATGAAATGCACTGTCCGGTAAACCTTTTGAGCGTTGTCGATCTTTTGCACTATCATTAGTTCCCTTATTAAAATGTTTTTTCTGTCTTCATTTTGTCGTGTACTTATAGACAATTGCCTTTCTCTTAATCAACGCTAGTAACCACTTAAAGAAACTTGATTTTTTTTGCACGTGCATATATGAAGCTAATATAGATAAAATATTATCGCAACACAGCCACATGTATTTATTTACTCACTTGAACTTGTCGGAATCACCTTTAGAAATTCGTGTACTTAATCAATTATTTATTTCTTACACAATGTTGTTTATGATCTTTCTCCAAAATAATCACAGTCAACGCTGACTTACCTTGAGAAATGCGTACACTTTACTTTCTTTTTTCCCATTTACATCAATTTTCTCCATCAATTTTAAATTAGGATCTAACGTAAAGTTGTGCCCGGGCCGAACCCATCTCAGTCCATTTATTATCTCGTACGCATTCTCTCCTGGCTCTTGAAGGCCAAACTGATTACAAGGAAAAGCCAGGACTTTCAAGTCGCATTTACTGTTCTTCTTGGAGCTGTACTTTTGTAGTAATTCATTCAATTGTTTGTATTGCATGGTTAAACCTCAGTACGTCGCCACGTTTATAACTAAAGCGACGTGATTCTTGTGAAACGTGTCCGGGACTTTCAAGCCGTGGATGTCGTCGATAGAAAAGTCGTAAAATGACCCCTTACCATCCTGGCATGACCTAAACGACTTCTTCCTTTCTGTGCACTGACTTCCCTGCAAGTACACCGCCAAAAATATGAAGGTCTTTACGGCGTCCATCTTGGTGGAAGTGCCACAAAGTCAATCGATGGCCTTCTCAGATCAGGAATTAAACAGCCGGTTAAAAGACAAATTCATTGCCAGCGACTGCTTTTCGTTGTCCAATCACAACACTAGAAACCTGCCAGTGGTGGCATGTGGTTGTTTAAATATCATGGCAAGTTTTGTTTGCGTTATACATTATTAACAGCCAAACAGTGAAGCGGCCTCCGCGTAAGCCATCTTTTTAACTAGTGCCGGCAAATGTGTATTTCAGAAAGGGTTTCAAACCGTTTTTATAGTTGACTGACGTTTTTGAAATACTGAACAGTTCGAAAGCTGGAAACCGATAATGTTGAACACGCGCGTGCGAGCTCGAAACGCGCACCATACACGCGCGTGGAATCAGAAAGTCCTGACTATCTCTTGAGGTAACTGTTAAAACTAGTTGAGCGCTATTGTTTCTTATGGCTCACCGTGGGAGCGGAGGGTTCAACTCACTTTCTAGAAACTTAGCATGCTTAATTAAACAGCCCACTTTCCTGAACCTCAATTCTTCTCGAGCGGATTGCCGAGTTAGGCAACAGCTTATTTTTTTCTTG